CAGGGGCTCCTTCTGTACAGCACTGGAGTGCCAGAGAGGGCTCTCCATTCCACCGCCTTGTTAATCCCCTGGGTCAGGCCTCAATGGAAGGTTCACAGTGCTTAGGCCCTGGCAACAATACAAGGAGAAACAAGCAGAGGGCCCTCTGGGAGTGTCCTGTCCACAGCAGGTCCCTGGGGATGGGCACCCACCTCATACCCCATCAATGGGCAGACACCTGGGATGGGGAGAAGATTCTGCATGTCACTCACCAACACATCCTCCCCATGCAGCCAGAGTGCCAGTTGCCGTAAAGATTACAGAGATCCACCCGGTGGCACCCTGGTCAGAGCTGGCTGCCTTCCTGCTCCATCTTTTCTCAGGGATGAGCCAAGCTGGGCAGCTCGGGGCACTTTCTGAGCTACCAGGAGGGGCTGAGTTTCTACTTTCCTCTGCAGGCCGCTGCCTTCCCTTCCCCCTCAGCCCATTAGGACACATGAACTACTTTGATGGCATGAACCCCAGTTTTGCTGAAGTCAAGCCCGTGAGGAGGGATCTATATTTCTCTAGATAGATAAAAGCTGAGTGTCCAGGAGTCTTGTCAGCTGGGTTGTGCGCGCACGCGCGTGTGTGTGTGCCTGTGTATGTGTGAGCGTGTGCGAGTATGTGTGCATGTGCACATGTCTGTCCATTGTTCTGCATGCAGAGGTAGCATTCTCTACCCCTGGCCATGCCTCCTTCCCAGATTTGCTGCTCCCTTGACCTCAGGTGTCTCCAGGAGAAATGCCTGTGAACTGCCCCCCAGGTCCCTTCTGGGTCTCTGATTCCATATCCATAGTTTACCGAGCTTGTGAATTGGAAAGGCCTTTGTTGGGATCTTTCTAGACCTTTCTAAGAGCTGGACCAATCAGGACCATCTTCAGGATTCCCCAGAATCCTAAATGCACCTTCTCTAGAGCTTTCCAGCAACCCAAGAATGGGTGGAAAGCCCCCCCCCACACACACACATACCTTACTCTAGCCATGATGACCATCAATGCAATTCAATTAACCGGCAGGGAAGCTGGGAAAGGAGTTGGCTGGTGCCTGTCAGGAATGCCCAAAGGGGAGAGTCCATGCTAGAACCTGCCGAAGCTGCCATGGAGTTCATGCTAGGCCTGGAGGCCCTCCGACAAGGAGAGTCCAAGGTGAGGTTGGGGTCTCCTGTCCTGCTAGCACAGCAGAGTCCCACACTGAGTGGGGATGGGAAAAGGCACATGGTGTCAGGCTCTCGAGTTTCCCACTGCTGGGCTCAGCTTTTGGGAAGCACAGAGCTTCCCCCACAGAGGTCCAGGCAGACAGCGCCATTGCACAGGGTCAAACACGTCCCTCTTCTCTTAATCATTTATCATGCCTTCGTTCCTGGGGATGGAAGCTGCCCTCTCCTCCCCCCACCCCACACACACTTCAGCTCTCATTTCCATGGGAACTGGCTCTCACACAGAAGTGCCCAGGACAAGAAGGAGGAAAACAGTGATGATGGAGGGAAAACAGCTTGCCAAATGGGAATGTCTGATGGTGACTGGTTTGCAACCACACCTGTCGGTCCTCCAAGTCTCCGAGGAATGGTGAAGGGTGGTGGTGACATGGGAGGGCAGGCAGAGCAGGCTGGGACAGACACTATGGGATGGAAAATTTAATCTCCAGCTCTCCCAAGGAAAAAGGAGGATGAGCCGGGTTAGGGCGTCCCAGCACCACCAGAGGGCAGCACAACCCTGTCCACATGGCTGCCGAGCTGCAGGCTGGGCTGGGGGCTCTGTGCCCCATCAGAGTGCTTTGGCGAAACATGACCTCATTCTCACAGGCCTGGCAGGAAATGCCCCGACTCCCCCAGAAACATGCAGGTAACAGTTGGTCGAGAGTTCTGGGATAAACTCTTTGGCTAGTGGCGAAGCCTTCTCCGGAGGCCTCTGGTCAGCACGCGGCGCCAGGGATCCTCTCCCCAGACTGGTGCTCTGCTTCCTTCGAGCTTCCTGGACCCCCACGGCAGCTTTCTGATCCTCTTTGTGGGCACCTCTCTCCCAACCGCTTTCTCCCTTCATGTCCTCGCAAGCTCAGCACATCCACAAAGGCAGCAGGAATGGAAGGAAGCATTGCTGGGGCAAAGACCTACTGGGGTGAGGGCTGGGAGTGGGGGAGGGTCTATTCTCTGACATCCCCTGCCTGGAACAGCTTCTGGTGCAAAGCAGGCCCTCAAACACTTCCAAGAAGAAAACCTGGCTCAGGTATGCATGCTGGGCCTCTCCTGTCCCACCTTTAACCTCTACCCTGCCTCAGAAGGTCCACTGAAGAACAAAGAGGGTCTAGCTAAAGAAAAGAAAATGCTGGAGAGACGCAAAGTTGTCGGAAGCAAACCCATCGACAGCAGCTCCTGATGGCCCGCTCTGTCGGCATGGCTGCTGCCGGAACCTCCTTCACCCTTCGGCTTCTGGCCAGTCCTGCTGTTCTCTTCCCTGTCACAGCTAGAATGTTGCTTTCTCTTTCTCTTTCCTTTTTTTTCTGCAGCAAACTCAAAGTCAGTCAATCTCTGTGACGCAGCTGTTACAGGACTGGACACAAGAGGGGATGCCCGCTAATACGTGAAGTCCAAGATGGCACTGTAAGACAGATGGCCAAAGAGTAGTGACGTGAGTTTCAGGAGCTCATTCGTGATGGGGCCTTCGTTGATAAGTATCCTGGAGGCATAGTTCAATGACTGAGCCTGCGCTTTGCATGCCGAAGACCCCCCGCACGGCATGATCCTCTGAGCATGGAGCCAGGAGCTGCCCCACCACACTGCCCAGAGGTCCTTGTCTGGCTTTTCTCAGTATACTGTATGTTATACAACCTACGGTCCTTCCTGGTTTGGAGCTGATGGGGACCAGGGGCAAGCATACCCCTCACCTGCCATCTGTGCTTCAGAATCCTTGAAGCATCCAGAGGGCCATGGAGGCTGCCTGAATTTTTTTTCATTTGTTTTGGGGCCACACCAGGTGGTGCTCAGGGGCTATTCCTGGCTCTGTACTCGGGAATCATTCCTGATCATGCTCAGGGACCATATGGGGTGCTGGGGATCAAATCCAGGCCAGCCACATGCATGGGAAGTGCCCCTCCCCTCTGTACTATCACTCCACCCCTTGTCTGTTTTTTTTTAAATGGGGGGCAGAGCAATAGTACAGAGGGTAAGGCATTTGCCTTGCACCCAAAGACCCGAGTTTGACCCCTGGCATTCCATATGGCTCCTTGAGCCCTCCAGGAGGGATCCCTGAGCAGAGTCAGGAGTAAGCCCTGAGCACTACGGGGTGTGATCCCCCAAAAAACAATGGTGTGTGTCGCGGGGGAGGGAGATTAATTCAAAGATGTAGGAGAGGTACTCGTCTTAGAAACAAAAATCAATCTGGAGAGTGCACTTGGGACGGGGCCATAAAATGGAGCCGTGATGAATGTGTGACAGGTCCGCAATCACTTAGCAAACAGGTCTCGCAGAGGTGGTCTTGGGGAGGGCTTCAAAAAGGAACGGGAGGTGGAGAGTCGAGGGCCGGAAAGGGCAAAGGAGACACAGAAATGGCAAAGCCAAACTGCACCCTGCGGCACTACCAAGAACCAGGACGGGGTGGCAAGGCAGGACAGGGATGCACCCTTGTGGCCCCGAACCTTAACGCACAGGTGGTCCAGGGCGACCCGCCCACCCCCAGCCCTGCCACCTGTTCCTTTCACCCAGACCGTGAGTCGGTTGTCTGCCCGGTGCCCATTCCCTAGGGGGGTTTGGCGACTGCGATTGCGATGCTGAGGTTCAGGGTCTGGGTGTCTAGGGTCCGCAGTGCACGGTGCGGGGGGGCTGGCCGGGAAGTCCCGACACCCCGTCTGGGGCAGGAGGGGGTGGGCTCCCCCTGGGGATGCCGTTTCTCCGCTCTTCTCCCTCCGAGAACCGCAACCGAGCCACCCGCTGCGCGGGGAGGGGGCGACGAGCGCAGCCAGAGGGGCGGGTGGCGGGTAGGGCGAGGGGTCCTGAGCGCCCCGGGGCCACCCGGCCTGCAGTGGGAGGAGCCGCGGGCTGCCAGCGGCAGGAGGACGAGACCGAGAGGGGCTCGCGGCGGGGGCGCGCGGACGCGGTGCGCGGGGCGGGCGCGGGCGCCAGGGGGGTTGCGCGCCTCGGCTCCACTCGGCGGGGCTCGGCGCGGGACCCCGCGACGCGCCGGGCGGCCCCGCTCCCACCCCGGCCCGCGGAGCGGGGTCTAGGCGCCCGTGGCCGGAGAGCCGAGCCGTCCGGGTGCTGGCCGGCCCCCTCCCCCGCCCCGCCCGGGCCCGAGCCCCGCCCGGAGATGGGCAGCCGCGCGCACGGCCCGGCCCGATCGCCGGAGCCCCGCGCCGGGGCGCTGCGCTGACGCTCCCTCCCGGCGCCGCCCGGGAAGCCCGCAGGTGTCCTTGGCCGCGCCGCCGCCGCCGCCGCCAGGGACGCCCCGCGCCCCGCGCCCGCGAGCAGCCCCGCCCCGGGCAGGCGCAGGACGCCCCGTCTGAGCCCCCGCCCGGCCCGGCCCGCCCGGCCCGCCAGCGCGGGAGCCCGGCCGGCCGGCGCCTGTTTTCCTGCCGCCGCCGCCGCGCCCCGCGCCGCCCCCGCCCGCCCGGACGCCGCGCGCCGCTCGGCCCCGCCCGCCCTCCGCGCCCGCCGCCGGGTTTGCGAATGGGGGCGAGGGGCCACCCGCCGCCGCCGCCGCCCCGTGCCGACCGCGCGCAGCCCCGGCCGCCGTGACCGCCGCCCCCGCTTGTGGCCGCCGCCGCCGCCAGTGCCAGCGCGCCCGGCCCGTGCGCTCCGCGGCCGCCGGGCGGAGGGGCGGGGGCGTGCCCGGCCCAACCACCTGTGCGCCGCCCCGCCCGCCCCGGGGACCGCCGCCCGCCGCCCCGGGGACCGGCGGGCAGGGCCACGCAGAGGGGCCGCCGGAGCCGCAGCCGCCGCCTCGGAGGTGTCGGGAGGGCAGCGGCCGCCCGAGCCAGCCCGCGCGCCGCCTATGATCAGCTCGGTGTGCGTCTCCTCCTACCGCGGGCGCAAGTCGGGCAACAAGCCGCCGTCCAAACCATGCCTCAAGGAGGAGATGGCCAGGGGCGCGGCGTCGGAGAAGATCGTCCTCAACGTGGGCGGCACGCGCCATGAGACCTACCGCAGCACCCTGCGCACGCTGCCCGGCACCCGGCTGGCCTGGCTGGCCGACCCCGGCGGCGGCGGCGCGGGCGGCGCGGGCGGCGGCGGCGGCGAGTTCTTCTTCGACCGGCACCCCGGGGTCTTCGCCTACGTGCTCAACTACTACCGCACCGGCAAGCTGCACTGCCCCGCCGACGTGTGCGGGCCGCTCTTCGAGGAGGAGCTCACCTTCTGGGGCATCGACGAGACCGACGTGGAGCCCTGCTGCTGGATGACCTACCGGCAGCACCGCGACGCCGAGGAGGCGCTGGACAGCTTCGAGAGCCCCGAGGGCGGCGGCGAGGGCGGCGACGGGGAGCGCGACCCGGCCCTGCCGCGCCCCGGGCCCCACGACGGGGGCGGCGGCGCGGGCGCGGGCTGCGGGGGCTGCCGCGGCTGGCAGCCCCGCATGTGGGCGCTCTTCGAGGACCCCTACTCCTCCCGCGCGGCCAGGGTGAGTGCCGGGCCCGGGCACCCGCTGGGGGCCCCGGCGGAGGGGCGGGCCGGGTGGCAGGACCGGGATGCCTGGCTCACCTCGGCCCTCCCTGCATTTCAGGGGGCGCTCGGGCTCAGCGCCCCACCCCTCTGCTCTGCACCGGCAGATGCCACACTCTTGATTTGACCACCGGGACTTCATGCCGGCTGCCCGCAGCCTCCCCGCTCTTGAGGAGGGGGCGGGGTGGGTCCTCCTTTGCGCCCTTCCACCTGCTTCCCTCTCCTCATTCATCCCTCCACACACTTCCCCAGAGCCTGGAGCCAGGGTGAACTGGAATTGGATCTTCTGCAGGGGTCAGGCAGGGTTTTGGGCGGGGAGGAGAGGGGAAACTGCACTGGGCACCAGCTCCATGGCTGGGCCTTCACATTCACCCTTCCTTGAGTGCCACCCCATGCCATCCTGCCTGCAGCACCAGGGGCTGGGCACTAGGAACTTCCTGGAGGCTGACTTGGGGGCTTCAGCCTCTTCCGCACGCACGTGACAGGTCTGGGAGTAGACGCCCCCTACACCCTGGGTGAATGGGGGTGAGACTGGGGAATGGGGCTGCAGGGAGGGCCGGACGGGCACAGATACCAGGTTAGGGAGAGGCCTTCAATTTCCTTCCCAAGGGAGAGAGTCAGAAGGCTGTTCCGTAGGCTTCCTGGACACCATGGGTGCCGAGGCCTCTGCAGGGACAGGATGAATTAGGTTAGGGAAGAGCGCCTCTCTTTGGGCCCTACGGACCCTAAGACCAGTGGCCAGCCACAGGCTGCCGGAAGAGTGCCCAGGTCTCCTTCTGATTTTCTCCCCCGGGCAGCAGCCCAGATGGGCTTCCCAGAAAGCTCCGGGTCAGGTTACACTTGAAATAGGTGTGGGGGTGGGGGTGGAGGGGTGCCACGGATTTAGGCAACAGTCCAGCCCTTCCCTCCTCCCCAGCTCCAGCCAGGACCCTCCAACCTCCTCATCAGGAAGGGTGTGGGGGTAAGATGTGCTGAAAAACCACCCTGAAACGGGGCTGGAGAGGGCCCAGAGCCTGGGGGCTGGCATCTGATCTCCTGGGCCAGGGTCTTCCTGGGAGACAGGAAAGAACCGAGCAGTGCCAGGGGTCTGGGGACTGCTTCCTGCTGCCGAGGTCTCCTGCCTCCCAGGCTGTGGCGTTAATGAGTCTCAGAGCCCTCCTACCCTCCCCACCGTCCTGCACTCAGTCTCAGAAGGAAAAATCCACCCGGATTGGGCAGGAGACAGGGGACTGGGGCGTCAGGGAGGGCCCAGATGGGCACAAATTCCAGGGTAGCTGTGGCTCCTCTTGGAAGGGGGCAGAGCAGTTGGGGCTGGGGTGCAGGAGTGCCCTGGCAGTCACTGGGAGGCTGAGACCTTTTTGAAGTTGGAGACAGTGGCCTTTGTTTCTTTCCTTGCAGCTGAGACAGCTGAGGGGCTGAGGGCCCTGGGCATGTGGTTCAGGCGCTTCCAAAGTTGGGAATGGGAGAAGGAAGTTTAGCTTGATGAAGAGTGAGTACAGGGCAAACCAGCGAGGTAGGAATGAGATGAAGGGGGTCAGGGACCTTGGCCCTATTTCTCAGTTCCCTGGGATTTCAGGGGCATCTCACCCATTCAAGTTCTTCCCTCTTGGATCCTGCAGGGCTGCACCTGTGGGCACTGAGTTGACTTTCTGCCCAGCAGCCAGTCTGGGGCTCTATGAGTTGTGCTTGCCAGCCCAGTAGGGTGCTCCGGGAGTTGAGGACGCCCGGCCCTCAGCCGGGGTGGGGGGCAATTGAGGGGTCTGTTGGGGGCGCAGGTAGGGTCTCGTCTTCTCTGGGAAGCAACCAAGAAGGCAGGATTCAGGGGTAATCCAAGCGTGAAGCGTCTCCTCTGATGCTTAAGAGCTGAGCCTGCCAGCAAGCCCTAGTCTCCAGTCCTCATAGTCCAGAACTTTCGTGTCCCGTGGTTCTTCCACTCTTGGGCCAGGGCTGAGGCTCAGTGGGAAAAATCCATGATCTCGCAGCCTGTGTTCCATTCTTGCCCTGCATCAGTAAAATAATGTAAGACAGGATGAGGTGGGAAAGGAGAAGATAAGATGAGATAAGGAGATCAGATACGATAAGCAGCCTCTCTTTACTGAGCATTCGTTCGCTGTAGACCCTTTGCTCCGCATGAACTGGCAGCAGGCATAAGCCCACTTGCTACACTGCGGCTCTCAGAGAGCCCGTTGCCTGTCCGAGGTCACACAGCTACGTGGACGGGGCCTGGGACGCAGACCCCCCACCCCAAGCTGTGCCTCATTCCATGATTGCTTGTGCCGCTGATGGCGGGCTGGAGAGACAACTGGGAACATTCTCGGGCTCTTGGGGTGTCTGAGGCTCCTGAGGATGAAATCTCAAAGCCCAGGGAAGATGGGGAACACCGAAGGGACCATTTCCCCATTGCCCCTCTCTCCCTGTCTCCCCCTTTTTACCCCAGACCTGTGCCTCTGCCCTCCTCCCCTACCCTCTGGTCTGTGTGCAGCCCTACCTCGGGGGTGCCTGCCTCCCCCAGGCTTGGGGTGCTGTACGGGGTGCCCTGTGCGAGAGCAGTAGGGTCAGCCCCAGGTGCCCACCTGGTTGAACTGCGCCTTGTGCCAGGTCTATAGGGAAAGCGAACAGAGAGGGCCAGGGAACCTGTGGTCTAGTGATTGGCCTGGCCCTTGGGGCCATTCCTCTCAGATGACTCCAGCCCAGTGCTCAGCCCTGCTTCCTCCGTGGCTGGGCCCAGGGGAGCAGGCCCACAGGGTAGGTGGTTGCTGGCTCAGCCCAGGGCCTGCTGTCCGCACTGCAGGCACGGCAAAGCCTGGCCACGGCCTGCCTGGCATCCCATTGTGCAAGGGACCAGAGCTGGAGAATCAGGCAAACAGGAGGCTCTGGTTTCTAATGGCCCAGGACATCTCTCCATACCTCCAGTCTCATGACGAGGTTTCCAGGACTGGACTTTCTCTCCGTCATCAGCCCTGTTAAGGATGTGAGATCTTGTTTGGCTAAATCAGCTCCTAGATTGTTTTTCCCTGTCTGGAAAGAGGAGGTGACCCATCCGTAGGGTCCCCGTGGCCCCGGGATCCACCTGGAACTGGGTCAGGTGCTGCTTCTAGCATCTCATGGGCTCAGGCCAGGCCGAGGTTTAAGCCCCACCAAGGAAGAAACAGACCCCCGAGGGCTGCTCAACCAGGATCTAGGGCCCCCAAGCCCGGGCCCTGCACCTCCATCTCTTTCCTCGCTCAAATGGCTCACTCTGGGGCTCGGGGCTCTCCGTTTCTCACTGGGGGCTGTCCCAGGACACAGAGAAAGGAGTGAGGGAAACACTTGATTCCCTTTCCTCAGGCAAAGGGTGAAAGCAGGCTTCCCAGGCACCCCTTCAGGAGGCCTTGAATGTCCCTGGCCCCCGTCACCCAGATGAAGCTACGTGACAGGCAGGGCAGGCTCTAAGCTAAGGAAAGCCAGAACGTGGAGCAGGGGCTGGGTGCCCTGGCTCCCCCAGACAGCAGGAGGCCATGAGCCTACCCTGGGACCACCTCCCAGCCTCCTCTGGGCCTGTTTTCTTCCACCTCTGAACAGACTGGCATTTGCCTCTGAACATCTTGCCTCTGGCTGATGAGGTGTTTCTGTTTGGCACCATTTGGGGTGGGGTGTAAAGTGGGGGAGGGGTAAAATGAACGGGTTATTTTGGAGAGTTGGGAACAGGCAGGGGGAGCGTCGTGTCAGGCAGCTGGGCCTGGGGAACAGGGTGCCCAGGCTCCTCGGCCCTGCCTCTCACCAGCCCTGTGCCAGCCTGGCCCCTTGACCCTGGCCTGCTGTGCCCTGGGGCGCTCTGCCCTGGGGAACGGGGTGGGGGTGGAGGCTGGCATCTTTCAGATTGAGTGATGGTGACTTGGGCTCTCGGCTGACCCTGGAGAGTTGCGGCGCCTGCAGCCCTCTCTGTCCCCTGCTAGTGTTGCTGACCAGCCCGGCTTGTGATGGTCTCTCCGTGACTGGGGGCAACTGGCAGCCACTGTGGAGTCTGTCACGGAGCAAACATTTCTTGACACTTCCTGTATATCAGACAACGAATTGGGCCTTGATAAACGTGAAGCTGAGTCCGAGGTGATTCCTTTTGGAGAGCCAGGCCAGGTGGCTGGGGCGCAGGGTGACAGATAACAAGAAATGCTGCAAACAGTACAAGGTCGAGGGTTCGGGGAGTGAGCTCAGGTGGGGGAGAACACTTGCCTAGCACGTGTGGGCCCCAGTTCTATCCCCAGCACCACAAGTCCCAGACCCCCGCAAGCCCCCCCCCCCCCCACACCTCCAGCCCCACTGGTTATAGCCCCTATTAAGAATATAGAGGCAGGGCTGGAGAGAGCTCAACAGACTTTGCATGCAGACATCCTGGGCTCCATCCCTGGCACCACGCGGTCCCCTGAGCACCACCGGAAGTATCCTCAGAGCCAAGAGTAGCCCCAAGGGCCAATGGACAGTGTGACCCCCACTAAAGGATAAATGAGATGAAAGGTGCCTTAGATAATAAAGTGCAGTTGAAGATAAGAGCAGGCAGTGCTAACCTCCAGCTGTCTCTGACATGGTGTTCAGGGGCGTGTGTGTGCGGGGAAGCTGGAGTGAGGAGCCTCCGGGTGGGGAGGGTTGGCCTCGCAGGCTAATTTCTTAGCTTCCCTGAGCAATTTTTAGAAGGCGGCAGGTTATACATAAATCCATAAAGGGAGAAACCTTCCCCGTAGGTAGAGCAATTAGGGACAAGGGGATTTTCTGGCCAGGGGAGCAACAGAAGCAGAGGACAGATAGTATAGGTGACCCAGATGGGCAGTCTCGGGAAAGGGCAGATGTTGGATGATTGGATCCAGGTCGGGGGTCAGATTGGACCAAATCCTCCTGGGACCTGGTCTTGCTGGCCCTGGGCAGCCCGAGGAAGCCCCCAAGTGTTGGCTTGGTGAGAACATACAGAGGCTGGATCTGGATTTGACTTGAGGTGGCAATAAGCCATGGCCAGAGTCTTAGAGGAGTCGTGAGAGAAAAGGAAGTGAGGGCGGGGGTCCTTTCGCTGGGACTCAGGCATCCTGTCCCAGGGCAGACCTTGCATCACAACAGCCCTTGCCCTGCCTTGCTGAATCCAGGACCACCCAGAGCTGCTGACCTGGTAGATTCCCTCTAGCCGAGTCCTAGCCCTCAGGGCTGCCCTTTCTCTTTTTGGCACTCCTGACTACTGGGCTGTTACTTATCCCTGCGGCAGCCCCTTATCCCTGGGCAGGCCTCTGCTCGTGTTGTTGGCTGTGTTGTCAAATTTCACTTCATCCTTAACATAGGCTTTTGGGCACAAGTCTTCTGTTTATCTGTCCATCTGTGTCCTCAGCCCCCACCCCCAGCCTGTGCCAGATCCCTGAGGCACTGTAGGCTCCAAGCTGAACTTTACAATTTACCTTTACAAAGGCCTGGTGAGGTGGGTTGGCCCCTTCTTGTCTCTTCCACACACCTGAGCATACCGTGACCTCAGGGCCTTTGCATGGTGTGTGTCGGTCCCTCAAAGCCCAGAGCTTCATCACTCATTGGTCTGTGGAGTCATTACTGTGACCTGGAGATCTTGCCTGAGCACTCTGTCTGACATGGTCCTCCTCCCTCACCCAGTAACCCCCTTTTTCTCTCATCCTTGCCCCTAAGGCTGCTGGGAAGTGAGGTGTCTGGGGCAGGGGAATGTGGCCTTTTCCTGCTGTTGCCTGGAGCCTGGACACTGTTGGTGCTGTTTTTGATCTGTGAACAAAGGGCTTGAGAGTCAGAGAGGTTCAGAAATGGGTAGGAGATCTCCCAGCAGGCAGCAGAGTCCCGTGCAGGGCCCAGAAGTGTGTGACTTCACAGACCCTCCAAGGACAGTCCAGGGTGACACTGGTCACAGGGCTGGCTGCCACCTGCAGCCCCTGGTGCCTGGAAACAAACAAGTCCATAGCAGAACAGGATCTGCCAGCAAGAGGGTCTCCGGGGGACCCCACAGGATGATGCTCTAACCTCTTCCCAGCACCAGGAGCCGAGCTGCTGGACCCCAGTTCATGAGTCCTTCCCCTTGGTCACCCCGACTCTCCAGCAGAATCTTGTCCCTCCTGAAGAAAACCAGCAACTTCAACCATGGGGACCAGCCTCCACCCAGACAACAGGAATGGGGTTCTGCCAGAATGCTTGTGCGAGGTCCCGGGTTCCAGCCCCTGGTCTGCACCACAGTCGGCCACAAAGACCTCAGCAGAAAGAGTGATGAACTAGAAGCTTCTGTAATTCGTGGGGCGACAGATCCTCCTCCCCTTCAGTAGCTGCCTGCAGGGGCTCCTGGTTGCTGTCCCTGTCCTGCCATGGCACTCATGCTGCCCTGACTCTGCAGGGAGGCCAGGGCGCAGAGTCACGGGGCTCATCCCCTGAGGGCTGGGTGCTCTGTGCTTCTTCCCCAGCAGCGGCCAGGAAGGCGGCTCCGAGCACAGGGGTTCTGAGTGGGACACCCGGGGCCTGGCCTGGATGTCTCCTTAGGGACTGTTGGTGCACATGCCCCGCCTCTGCCCTGGGCCTCTGTCCCTGGAAGCCCTGTGGCCGCCCACAGAAGGGAGTCAGGCACCAGGGTCTACACTGAGAAAATTCTTTTGGTTTCCAGAGAAGGGAGTCATTTGGATCCTGTCACCGGGCCACCTTCATCTTCCCAGGGAGGGCCGGCTTCTGGGGGCAACCCTGGAGACGCTGCAGAACTAGCTGGGCCCCGCCAGGGAGGTGTCAGGAATGGGAGCCCAGGGTTGGGACACCTGGCTTTGAATCCTTTCCCTCTGTTGGGTCTCCTGGGTCTCTGAGAAATGGACACATGCCCCCACCCCATCTCTGAGAGGGTGGACGTTCCTGAGACAATGAAAAAAGCTCAAGTGAGTGAGCATGCTGGATTCTGCGGGCTGGTCCCTAAAGCAGGAGGGATGGTGCATCCCCACGGGGGCCATGCCAGGACACTTGGGCAGCTCGGCCCCCTTTCCACACCCTCTGACCCTCTCTGTGCTCTTTAACCCCTTTCCATGCTTCCTACCCTCTCTCTGCACCTTCTCAACCCCTTGATGGCTCTTTCTGAACTTGTTTTTCCACATCATCACTAATTAACCCCACACCCCAGCTCCCCAGAGGTGCCTAACTCCTCCTGGCTAACTCTTCCTCAGAGAGTGCCGGCTCCTGCTTCCTGTGCTTCCTGGAGGAGGGGCTACACTGTCCCCACACAGCCCTGCAGCCCTGCAGTGGGTAGTCACCGCCACTAGCCCCAGATGAGCCCTTGGCCTCAGGCCTCCTATAGTGCCTTAACTTGAGCTCACAGCAGCAAGACCAGCCCCCAACGAAAGAACTTGGTCTCTACCCTGAGGGCTGGGGAGCAGTGGGGGGCCCAGCTGGGATCAGGTCTGTGCTGGCTCCCCTCTGCCTGCTGGTCTGGGGGTCAGCCCATTTGCATGTGCTTGCTGTGGAAGGGGAAATGTTCTAGAGGGAGCCCCCCTCCCTTGCCCAAGGGGCCCTTCCCTCAGAGGGGGCTTGAGGAGGGGGAGATGTGGTTTGCGGAGAATGGGGGGGGAGGTCTTTGAAGTTAAACCAAGTATGCTCACCCCTGCTTCTGGGCTGTGCGACCTGAGGCCAGTATACAACCTTCCTGATCCTGTGGGAATGGGGTGCTGAGGCCTCTTAGAGGACTGGAGGTGAGAAGGCGAACACACACAATCGTGCGCACTCTCACACACACACACACACACACACACACACACACGTACACATACTCACATACACAGCCATGCATTCTCATGCACACACATACACAGTCACTCACACAGTCACCCACACTCATGCACACACATACATACAGTCACATTCACACACATACACACAGTCACACACACAGTGCCCTGGCTGTGCCATAGCAGCTGCATACCAGTTCCCATACTCCCCCGCCCCCCCCACCACCAGGCTGCTCCCCTTCAGTCTGGAGCCCTGGCATGGTGTGAGGGTCACAGCCCCTTCCTCCTTCCCTGGTGCTCTGCGGTTGCGAACAGGGTGTGCCCCCATCTCTCGGGGCAGCCTGCCTGTGAGAAAAATATCTTCGGGGGCAGTGCCATGCTCAGGTGCCATGGGGGCTTACCAAGTGGGAGTCGGGTGGGGTCATAGCCCTCCTCCATCTGCTGAATCTCAGTACTCAGGCCAGCCTCTCCCCCCACCTGCAGCGAGGACGACGCTGGGGCTGTGGAACCCAGCACGGGATCCTGAGAGTGGTGAATGGCAATGCATGAATAACAGATGAAGGCCCCGGGATTGGTGTTATTACACATGCATTTCATCTCCATTCATAATCATCGGACACTTAAACCCAGCCGCTGCACTGCTGCGCCGCTGTCATGCTCGCCAAGCTCTCAGCAGCTGTGTGCATCGGCGCTGACTCTCTAGCCCAATGTCCGCTGAAATTCTGGTCCTCTGGAAGGCGGGGGCTCTCCAGGCAGACCCCCTTCCCTGCTCTGGGGAGTGCCCAGCGTCCTCTGGGGACTTCTTGCCATCCGGCCCTGCTAAGGGGGGGAGTGGAGAGACGATCGGAAATGAGGGCAGGAGGAGAGGGGTACGGCAGGAGCTCCATCTCCACCTGCACGCCACTCAGCGCCAGGCCCAGCGGCCCCCCTGCCCTTTGTGGGGACGGCCCCGTGTCCTGGACCCCCATGTTGCCCGCTGTTCAGAATTACCGGCAGGTTTGTTCAGACGTAGTGTCCAAACCTACCTCTCCTAGTATTTCTCATCCCATGTATCGGGGTGCAGGTAGGGGTGGGGGAAGGAAGTGGGGAGGGAGAATTTGCACCTCCAGTCCTAGCTGACACCATCGCTTAAAGCCTCCTGACTCCGGGGCTGGAGCGATAGCACAGCGGGGAGGGCATTTGCCTTGCACGCGACCGGCCCAGATTCGATTCCCAGCATCCCATATGGTCCCCTGAGTACTGCCTGGAGTGATTCCGAGTGCAAAGCCAGGAGTAACCCCTGAGCGTTGCCGGGTGTGACCCGAAAAGCAAAAAAAAAAAAAAAGCCTCCTGACCCCAAGTAGGGTCTGAGCCTGCCTCAGACCCAGAGCTGGTTAGAAATGCAGAGTCACAGGCCTACTCCCAGCATCTGAACTGAACTGCCTTTTTACATGATTTCCTTGAGTTGTTTTCTGCCCTTGCGTTGTTTAATCTGTATGGTGGGACTAGTGAGGTGTGGGCAGAGCTGGCAGGGCCAGGATCCTTGCTCTATTGCTCCAGACGGGGCCTTTGGATCCCATCTCCCTTGCTCTGAGAATCGACCCACAAACCCTGCCCTCAGCCAGCGTCTATGTGGAGCTGGCCACACCTCACTGCTGACCGCTGCCCCCACTGTGCTCTGCCCTCAGGTGGTGGCCTTCACCTCTCTCTTCTTCATCCTGGTCTCCATCACCACCTTCTGCCTGGAGACGCATGAGGCCTTCAATATCGACCGCAACGTGACAGAGATCCACCGTGTGGGGAACGTCACCAGCGTGCGCTTCCGGCGGGAGGTGGAGACAGAGCCCATCCTCACCTACATCGAGGGCGTGTGCGTGCTCTGGTTCACGCTCGAGTTCCTGGTCCGCATTGTGTGCTGCCCTGACACGCTGGACTTTGTGAAGAACCTGCTCAACATCATCGACTTCGTGGCCATCCTGCCCTTCTACCTGGAGGTGGGGCTGAGCGGCCTGTCGTCCAAGGCCGCCCGGGACGTGCTGGGCTTCCTGCGTGTCGTCCGCTTCGTCCGCATCCTGCGCATCTTCAAGCTCACGCGCCACTTCGTGGGGCTGCGGGTGCTGGGCCACACCCTGCGGGCCAGCACCAACGAGTTCCTGCTGCTCATCATCTTCCTGGCCCTGGGGGTGCTCATCTTCGCCACCATGATCTACTATGCCGAGCGCATCGGCGCCAGGCCCTCCGACCCGCGGGGCAATGACCACACCGACTTCAAGAACATCCCCATCGGCTTCTGGTGGGCTGTGGTCACCATGACGACGCTGGGCTACGGGGACATGTACCCCAAGACCTGGTCGGGCATGCTGGTGGGGGCGCTGTGTGCGCTGGCGGGCGTGCTCACCATCGCCATGCCTGTGCCTGTCATCGTCAACAACTTCGGCATGTACTACTCGCTGGCCATGGCCAAGCAGAAGCTGCCCAAGAAACGGAAGAAGCACGTGCCCCGGCCGCCCCAGCTGGGGTCACCCATTTACTGCAAGTCTGAGGGCACCTCTCCTCAGGATAGCACCTACAGCGACGCCAGCCCCCCTGCCCCTGAAGAGGGGTTGGTGGAGAGGAAACGGGCAGGTAAGATTGGGGGGCCGGGAAGGAATAGCCCCACATCCCAGAGGCCAGGGGTGTGCCTTGGGGACTTGGAATTTGGGACTGTGTTTCAGTGCTCTGGACTCCTGTGAGAGATGCCGCGGTGCCTCAGAGGCTGAGACGGAGGGCCGGGGTCTCTCCTGGAACCTCATTGCTCCCTGTTTGTGCCGGCCCCTGAGCATCTCTCCCGAGCTGGGCTACATGGGGACTGTCCGGCAGAAGCCCAGCACGGCACTCTTGAGTCCATCTTGGCCACCCTACCTGGCTGAGTATGTCCCGAGCCCCAACCAACTCTCCCCTCCCTGCGCCTAGATTCCTTCCCTGGAAACTGGGTTACAGTACCCATATCCGTACCCCCAGGCGTGGCTGTGGCACCTGGGCATGCCAGCATGGCAGTGCTCAGAGCAGGGGGCGGCCCTTTGCGGCGCTGGGGGCTGCCACCCTTAATTGGCACGCAGGGCAGCTGTTCCCCCAAGGTGCACCGACACATGAATCACTTCTTCCCGAGCGAGCGCCCGCGTCTGCTGTCTCTTGGCCTAATAAATGTGCCAACGTAACAGCAGTGGGAGGCGGCCTTCTGTTCGCCGGCGCTGGGGCTTCGCCTAGGAGGGAAGAGAGCCGGAGGGAGTGGCCCAGATGGCATGGGGAGAGGAAGGGAGAGAGCGGTCTGCATGGGGTGGGGCACCAGGGGCTGCAGACCTGCCCAGGGCTGGGGTGTGGGGGCAGGGGGAGTTTGCTTCTCAGAGTCTGAACACAGGAGGGGAGGCGGTTTTACCCGTAGCATGGGGGGGGGGGTAGTTTGGAGGAAGGGTGTGGGGTCCACGTGGTGGGTGTGGAAGCTGCTGGAGGCCAGGCCCTTGGGAGTCTGGGCCTGGGCTGGGAGTCTCATGGTCTCCTGTTTGGGTCCAGGAATGTAGAACTCGGCCCCAGATGCCAGCCTGAGGGGGTGGGTGTCCATTGGACAAGCCTCTCACATCCACCATCATTCCGGGGAAGGACCTTGGGGTAATAGTGTGCCTCCAGCTCCCCCTCTCCCCCACCAGGTAGAACCCCCTCCCGGGTCCCCACTCTGCTCTCCCAGTCAGGGTGACTTGCCCTTAGACCTGTTCAGATTGCACAGGACCCTCCAGGGCCTGGCTGCACCCCACACTGCAGGCCCCTGCTGTGGTGAGGCCATCCCGGCTAGGGCCAGGGCCAAACTCAGGGGCTCCCCCATTCAGACCAGGGTTCAGCTACACCCTCACTGTTCTCTGAGGAGCAAGTGGGTGCTGGGAGGAGCCCCCGGGAGCAGAATGGCATCTCCAGAGCCCTCCCCAGACAGGTGAACCCAAGAGCAGAGGGCTGGGCTGCTGGTGCCTAAGAATCAGGGTCGGACTGGAGAGATACTACAGCAGGTAAGGCGTTTGCCTTGCACGGGGCCAACCCCGGTTTGATTCCCAGCATTCCATATGGTCCCCTGAGCACCGCCAGGAGTAATTCCTGAGTGCATGAGCCAGGAATAACCCCTGTGCATCGCCGGGTGTGACTCAAAAGAAGGGGAAAAAAAAAGAATCAGAGTCTACGGGGGGTCCCAGTGGTGAGAGCCCCAATGTTGGATTAAGGAGAGTTGGTACCCCCCAATCCCGCCTTGTTGGAGGGAAGCCGACTCAGCAGGTGGCAGATGGGGAGGCCCTGCTGCAGGGTATCTGATTCCAGGCAGCGTCCTGGCACCCGGGCGGCACCCTCCTCAAGACTCTGGGCCACCTCCTGGCCCTGCTGCATAGCAGCCCCCTCCTCGGATGGATGGGACCGCGGCCCTCGAGGTGTGGGATCCGAGAGACCCTGGTGGCCTTCACCCCGCCTCTCTCCTGTCTGCCCTTCCAGACTCCAAGCAGAATGGAGATGCCAGCGCGGTGCTGTCAGACGAGGAGGGGGCCAGCCTCACGCAGCCCCTGGCCTCGGGCCCGGCCCCTGAGGAACGCCAGGCCCTGCGGCGCGCGGGCACCGCCCGCGATAGGAACAAGAAGGCGGCTGCCTGCTTCCTGCTCAGCGCCGGGGACTACGCCTGTGCCGATGGAAGCGTGCGCAAAGGTACGGCGGCCGGACCGGGGCCCGAGGCCCCCCAGAGCTCCCCGCACGCCCTGCGCTCCCCTCCGCCTCGGAAGCCATGGCCACCATCTCCTCTGCCTTGGACGCGCCCCCGCATTTAGGAGGGGTGCCCGGGGTAGGAAGGTCCTGGCATGGCCCTCGCCTTGCCCCCACCCAGGTGGGCTAGAATGGGCCCTGCCCCGCCCCCAGTCTCAGCCTGACCCCTCCTCTCTGGGGCTCCCCTAGGGCTCTCAGGAGTCAAGGGTAAGTGCTCGGGAGGTCTCCAGAGAATGGTCTGCCTGTGCCAGGGCCCTGAAGTTGCAGTTTAACCCCCCCACCCCCCCATTCTCCACCCCCGGAATTAGCTCTGCCCTTCAGGAAGAGCCAGAGGAAGAGAGCATCACCCCTGAGGTGCAGTGGGGGCTCCGGAGAGCCCCTGGGAGCAGCCCTGGCGTCCTGTGAAGGGAGGCGGGATGCTCCCGCAGGTCCCAGGCCTGCAACAGGGCCATAGGCAGTGCTGGGACAAGTGATTACAGCCTAAATGACAGCAGGGGCCGCCAGGGGCCAGCGGGGACGGGAGGAGGCAGGCCTCACTCGACCACCTGGTTCCTCCTTGATGGGGTCCCTACCTGAGCTCCCGAGGTACCAGCCCCGATCCACCCAGGACAAAGCTTTTCCATGGGTTTGATACCATCTCACCAGCCCTCTGCACTCTGATCCCCCACCCCCACTCTCCCCAGTGTCCCCCAAACCCCAGACCAAGGCAAGGTTGAGGAAATCAGGGACAGAGGCTGCTGCGGGGATGACTGTGAAGCTTAGCCTTGAAGACGTGGCCTGGTCTGGCCTGCCCAGCCCATGCCCCTCCTGGGGCCCCTTCCCTGGCCCGCTCAGCTCTGTACCCATGGGGTTCCTTGGTACCGTGACACCTTGGCAGCACAATGGGTCTTTTGCCTTGTTGGGCAGAGTCTGTAGCAGCCCAGCACGAGGCCACAAAGAGCCCAGAGGCCTAGCTAAGGGGCAGCAGGTGGGGTCTCTCCTGGACCCCCTACCCCCTTGCCCACCATCTTCAGGATCAAGATGGGCTTGTTTCTCCAGCACTCCCGACCCAGAGCCTGGCCTCTTCAGAGCCAAGCCAGGGGGTCCCCAGCCTGGCGGAGTGCTGAATACCCTGCATCCAGCCTGTGTGCTGAGACTCAGCAGTTTGGGCGAGAGGCCATGCGGGAGCAGGCTGAGGGACCTAGAGGAGTGGAGATTGGGTCTCACCTGGGAAGGGGCAGCACGCGGGGACTGGGGGGGGGGACGGAGGGAAGATGGCAGGGTGCCTGCACCCCGTGGCTGTCTCTCGTGGGACCCGGCTGCTCGCTTTCCAAGATGCCTCCACAATGCTTCTTGGCAACCAGCGCACAGCTCAGCCAATTAGAGTGACCTTCCAGAGGGAACAGGTGGGTTGCCAGGAAACAGGCCCGGCGAGCAGGTGTGGCACTCGTGCCCCCCCCACCGCAGTCCCGCGTACCGGGCACCTTTCCCCAGGCTGCCCTGGCTGCCGTGCCCTCTGACCCCTGTGCCTTTTCTTCACCAAGGCCGTGAAAAGTCCTGGAGTCTAACCAACATAACGGGAGCCGCAGGAAGCAGTCTGGGGCTGTCTCCACTGGCGTCACGGTTCAGCTCGCCCCACCCTGCAAGGAAACTCCTGCTTCCCCCCACCCTTCGCCCCCCCGCCAGCCCCCCACCCAGATGCTCGGCCCCTTAGCTGCACTGGGGGCACAACCCGCCTCCAGCCTGCTTCCTCCTGCGGTGGCCTGGGGCGCTGGGCAGGAGGCTGGGGATTCTGGCCCCCGAAATGTTGGACTCCAGAATCTGGGATCTGGGGCAACTAGGACAATCAGGGAGACCCCTGCCACCTCCATCCTGAGTGAAGAGGGCACCGCCGCCCCTCTCTGGGGCCCCACCTCAATCAGGGCAGATACACTTTGCACTTCCCACGTGGCCTCCCACTCACTACCACTGAGTCTGTCTGTCTGTCCATCCCTCACCCACACCAGCGAGAGTCAGGCTGCCCTGTGGGGTCTTCCTGCTGCTGTCGAGGGCATTAGGGTTGCTTCTGGGCTTCTGGGGGGAAGAGACCTGCTGGTCCCCGGCTCCGGTCAGGGGCCTGGACTCAGCTCTGGGACTGGCTGCCCGGCTCAGGGACCCCTCCTCTCTGGGGCACCTGGGCCCAGATTCTGGGGTGACACCCCCCAGGAGCCCCACCTCCCAGCTGCACCCCAAGCCATGGCGTCTCTGCTTCCTCAGCATCCCCGGACCGTTGGCTGTTGCGCTCCCCTTCTGCCTCCGCCCCGCAACCCTGCGCTCTGAGTCACCTGCCACTCCCTGCCAGCCCCGCACTCTGTCTTCCTGCCAGAACCGGAGACTCGGCTCATTTCTATAATTAAGTGTATTCATTTACCTAACGAGCCCGCCAGCCGGGGTACACCCCGAGCAGGGGCCAAGCAGGGGAAGTGGGGACACAACCGTCCTGCCCCCCCCCCGCCACCCCACCTGCTCCCTTGCAGGTGCCCTGCCCCACCTAGAGAATGCTGAGCTGCAGGCAGTGCTGGAGTGAGGCTCCTTCACCCCCGCCCCCCACCCCCCAGCCTGGGAACACCTTAGCTAAGACACTTCCTGTTTCACCTGATGGGAATTAGACCTGACAGCGAGCCTAGCTGAGTGCCAGGCCAGTGTGAGCATCAGATTATGCAACTTGGTCTCCCCAGTGATTGGGGAAGGTTCCGGCCTCCCTGGTCTTTTCGGGGTGGGGGAAGAGAACTGGGGAACGCAGCAGGAGACCTGGGGGATCTAGCGGGAGGGGGCAACCTCTAAAGGTGACCAGGGAGATGGATGAGATTGTGTCACTGGGGTGGGAGTGGTGAAAGGCCATGTCAGGAGCACCCCCATTTCTGTGCCCGGACTCGGGAGTGCCCTAGCCTGCAGCAATCTCTTCAAGGGGTCCCCTGGGACCACTCCTAACCTGTTTTGGTCTGTGGGGCCTGCCGCCTACTTGCTCTCAAAGCCAAGGCCCACCCAGAGCATTGAGACACAGGGGTGTCTAGGTCAGTCCCCTCTGAGGGACCTGGGCAGGCACGCAGGACAGACACTCCTCCCCCTCCCTGCTCACAGGCAGGCCAGCCCAGGCCCGGAGAGCTCCGGGACCATGTGCCTGAGCCCCCTTTTCCTTGCCTTTCTGGTGCGGGGAGCCGAGGCGGCTATTTCTGTGGCAACCCTCAAGTTGTCAAGAGCCCAAGTTTCCACGGCACCCACCGCCTCCTTCCTTCGCTTCCTCCCACAGGGATGGGCCTGCTCACGGCACCCCTCCGCTGGGCACAGATGTCCCAGCGACGGGAGGCAGGAGAGCCAGGCTGGAGCCCCCGATTCTGGGGAAACGGCTCCCCACAGTTCTTGGGCAGCCGGGCTCTAGTGAGAGAGAGCCGGGGCTGCCTTAACGGAACCTCTGAGGTAGGGGCTATGTGCCCACCTCCTCTCTGACCGTTCCTCCGACTTTCCCAGCACCCCCGGAAGGGGGAGAGCCCCACTGTGTGCAAGGGGGGAGGGAGTCTGCCTGGACCTCAGTTTACCCCAGATCCCCCTTGACTTCTAGAAGCTTCCCCACTGGGCTGCCCCGACAGCAGCTGTTCATCTTCCCCTCCAGGACCCCTTCCCAGCACCCAGGGTGGTGGGCAGGACAGACAGTAGCTGGTCATTCTGAAAGCCCAGGCCACTCGGTGGTGGGGACCATCTTTACCTGCCTGGAGCCAGGGCTGGGAGCACTTTTGAAAGGATTCCTGTGCCCTGACCAGAGAGAAAATTTGCTGTTCCCCCAAGGACACTGCTGCCCCAGCTGAGGATACCCCCTCCCCCAGGGCTCACTGGCTCCCACTCCTGAGACCAGAACTACTGCCTCAGCTAGGGGGCACTCTGCTGGCTGGCCTGAGCACCGGGCACCTTCACCAGCCCCTCAGGACCATAGCAAGTCTAGGGCATAGACAAGGCCCTTGGGAGGGGGCTTGGACAGTCACCTTCCCCGCTTCCTCTGGTGCCAGAGCTGGGATCCCTCTTCTCACTGCCCTGGACTTTGGTGGTCTCTGGAGCCCTGCCATCACCACTGAGTCTCCTTGGGCTGGAGCTGAGGTGGCGAAGGGGGGTGCCCAAGGGGCTGCCGCCTCTGCCTGGCCCGCCACTGCCATCCAAATCTCTCTGCGCTGGGTCCCCCCAGATCCCTCGCATCTCTGCCTCTGCCTCAGCCTGCAGCCCAGGAGGCTGGCTGCCGGCTTCCCGCTAACTTCTCATTCTTTGTCTCTCCCTTTCTCTTGCTGCACCCCCCCCCCCCCCCCCAGAAGGCACGGTTGAGCCGAAAGCGTGCGTCCCAGTGTCTCACACCTGTGCTCTTTAAACAGAGACCTGCCAAGATGCCCTCTCGTCCAACTATGCCCAAGCCGAAGTCCTCACCCTCTCTTAAAGCGGCAGCGGCGAGCGAGAGACGGGCAGACAGACAGAGAGCCAGAGGCTTAGGGAGAACTCTGGAACCCAGGCAAGAACCTGCCCCTGGGAGGACTCAGATATCCTTGCCGGCACAGGACTGGTGGAAGAGCTCCCGCGTGCCCCTCGGGCGGGCCAGGCCGGGGCGGCTGTGTTCTGTTGTACATTGCAGAGATCTCTGTATGCGCACATAGTATCTATATTCATACATACTGTACTCTCGTGTGTAGTGTTCTGCTCCTGGTGGTCCGTCTTTGTTAGGCTGCGTCTCCCCACGCCTCCCCCAGCCCCAGCCCACGCCCCACCCCGACGCCCGCTGCCCCTTTGCTTCTCCTTCCCTGTGCCCTGTTTTGGTTTTCGTTTTTTTTTTTTGTTTGTTTTTCTTTTTCTGGTGAACATGTGTGTGGAATGTCCCAGGGGAAGAGCACCTGGGAATTTCCAGTCCTTCTGGGGTGGGGGGTGGGAGGCCCAGGGTAGACTCCCATACGCTGGCTCGCTGGCCCACCAGCCCCACCCCACCCCAGACTGGGGTTCTACCTCCCACCCCATGCCCCAGTTAAGGGGGGACTTCGAAGGGTTCCTCTGTAGCCACCCCCACCCTAACCCCCCGCCCGCTCCCCCACCTGCCCTGGGACCTGGACTGAGGGGGCGTCTTGTTCTTTTTTTCATTTTTTTCCATTTTTTGTTATTTCTGTCTCCTTCGTCTGTTTGTTCTCGATGCTGCTGGGCCGACAGGCAGGGAAGGGGTCTGTCTGCCCGCCTGGCCCGGGGGTCTGAGCAGGGGCGCTTCGGGGAGGCCAGCTGCAATACCGTACACCCTGGCCTCCAGCCAGAGGATGTGTGCAATAGCAGAGGCTTGGCCACCCCTTCAGCCGCGGCCTCTGCCCCCCTCGCTCCCCTCCCCGCACCTCCCCGGTGTCTGACGCCGTCCCCCGTGTGTCTGAGGCACGCCTGGCCGGGCCCTGCCGCCCTGTCCGCATGCCTTTGACCGTCACGCTCTTGCTCAAGCCCAATAAAGACATCCGGAGCCTCACCACTGTGTGTTGCCTGCCTCCACTTCCCCTCTCGGCTCGGTCCCTGGGGCCTGCTCAGGGAACCCTGCAACCCTGGCTCCTAACAGTGCTCTGAGCACTCTGCAGAGGAGCTTGGCCTCAGGCCCTCCCCACCTTTCGGTTCTACAGGGCCAGGCCCCAGCCCGGGTATGCCAAGGCCATGTAACCAGCCCCTGGCCCGAGTATGCCAAGGCCATGTAACCAGCCCCTGGCCCAAGAGGGGTGACCCCTCTGGGGACCACTGCAGGACGGGGACAGAGGGTCTCCTGGGCCCAGACCGGTGTGTGTGTTGGGGGGTGGTCCTGGCCCTTCCTGTCACTGCTCACAATACATTGGTTGGTTGCAGGGTCCCTGGAGTGCTCAGAAGGGTCCCCACCCTTGGCTGAGCGCTCAGTTGTTACTGAAGAAGCCCCGACCCCTCCTCATCTGGCCCGTCCCCCCAACCCCCAAGTCTGGGCTGGGTCTGATTTTGCCCCTACTCCCTTTCCTCTCAACTCCAAACTTTAGAAGGGCCTGGCGTCAGCCCCCCCCCCCCCCACCCACACACACACACACATTCTCTGTCAGGAACGTGGATGACCGCGTCCCTGCTGCAGAGACACGGACTAGAAAGACCCACCCCGCATCCTGTGCGCACATGAGGGTGACCCTCCCACCCCAGGAACTGTTGCCCGCCGTCCCCTTGTCCCGGGGGCTTCTGAGCTGTCCATGTTGAGTTACGTGGTGGAAAGAGGGGCACCCAGGGGAGCAGGGGTGAGGATGGCAGGACCCTGGAGAGGGGAGAGGCAAAGCATCCGACTGGCAGGCTGCTCACTGGAGGGGAGGGGAGGGGAGGGGAGGGGAAGCAAGGTGTGGCAGGCATCCAGTTGTCAATTAAGGATAAAATCTCCTCCCGCAGTGAAGGCCGGAGCGGCCTGAGCACAACCCCCCCCCCCCCCCCACCCCAGGAAGAGCCATTTGCAGCCAGGCCGGCCTGGGAGAAGCTCGCTGAGAGATAATGGGATGTGCTGCTGGCTCCATAATGATATTACGCACCGGGGCTGCATCCAGAATGGCCTATGCCGGGTGGGTTTTGTTGTTGTTGTGTTTATAGATGGATGTGGAACCATTCCCTGAATAGGAGCTAAGAAGCCTGAGCCCAGCAGAACCAGATGCTGGGATGTGTTGGGGGGATTTCCTGTGGGAACCAAGTGTAGCCCTGGTTCACTGGGACGCCTCGAGACCCCCAAGGGGAGAGGGGTGGTGTGTACAGGGCTGCAGTTCAGAGAGGAAGGCCCAGACTCCCTACAGCCTCCAACTGCAGGCTTGAGGAAGACAGGCTCTGGCTTCCTGTGGGCCCCTGCTGGAGTTGGTCCCCAGTGAGGGCCCTGTTTAGAAGGAGAGGACATGGGAGCTGGAGGGGATGGCTCAGAGGACTGGGGCACAGGAATCCCACCTGTCCCCTGGGCACCACCAGAAGTAGCCGCTGAGTACTGAGACAGGAGTAACCCCTGACCACCATCCAATGAAATCCAAAACCAACTAAAAGAATGGAAAGCCATGCAGATCAGAACTGACACTGGTGGGCAGAGATGGCACAGGGCTTAAGACATTTGCCTTGCGTGCAGCTGTCCAGGTTTGATCCCTGATGCCAAATACGGTTCCCTGAGCGTCACCAGGAGTGTTCCCCGAAGCCAAAGGCAAAAGTGAACCCTGAGCACCATCAGGTGCGGCTTCCAAACAAAAAGCTGGTGTTGGGACACGCACGGATGTTTAGAGCCTGGGATAATCCGTTTGCTCCACTGCAATAGAAGAGGAAGAGAAGTCAGTGAGGAAGAGGTGTGTGTGTGTGTGTGTGTGTGTGTGTGTGTGTGTGTGTGTGTGTGTGTGTGCGCAGCACTTCTGCATACACATCCTCGGTGGATGTTTCTCCATCTTCTGCCCCAGAGGAGAAAGCACAGCGATGTCAGCTCATCTCTAAGGTCATACAGACAGTAAGTGGCAAAGCTGAGTGGAACCCCAGCAGCTCCCAGATGCGCGAGGCCAGTGCTTTGCTGATACCTAAAAGAAGTGGGGCATCAGGTCTAGTCTTTGGACCAGGCCTATGTGATCTGGTGTTGGGGTTGAGGGCACGCCACACAGGATGCTGCTGGGGGTGTTACTTCTGGCTCTGTGAAGTTGTGCCAGGACCATGTAGACAGAACCATGCAAAGCAAGCACCTCAACCTCTGTATGGGCTTTGTAATTTTAATCGTAACTTCAATGATTCCATTTCCTTCTTCACAGCTCATTCACACAGCAAAGGTGTTTTTTGTTGTGTTTTTTTTCCCAGCCCAATTCACCCATCCTTCTCTCTCCCCTTATTCCCCCACTTTAGGAATCTTTCTCCTTAGGAATTCTCCTCAAGCCCCAGTACTTAATTATCAGGAGCTGATGCCCACCTCAAGGAGAGATTGGGGTCTTCCATGTGCAACTCACTGCACTCTCTTTTCTTTTTTGTGTGTGTTTGGTTTTCTCTTTTTTGCTTTTTTGGGTCACACCCAGCAATGCAGAGGGGTTACTCCTGGCCCATGCACTCAGGAAATACTCTTGGCGGTGGCCGGGGGACCATATGGGATGCTGGGAATCGAACCCAAGGCAGACACCCTACCTGCTGTGCTATCGCTCCAACCCCTATATTTTCTTTGGGGGGGGGTTCTGGGTCACACCCGTTGAATCTCAAGGGTTATTCCAGGCTCTGCATTCATGAATTATATCTGGTGGGGCTCAGGGGATCATGTGGGTACCTGGGATCGAACCTGAGTCTTCTGCATTCAGGGCAAGCACCCTACCCTCTACTATCTCTCCAGCCCCTGTCATCAGAAGCAGGTGGCTGGGAGAGAGTCTGACCTGGAATCCAAATCATGTAAGGTACCCCTTAGCTTGGAGAAGAAACGCAAGCGACCCCTACTTTCAGGTGACAAAAAGCATCAGAGAGGAAGTGGGTTTAAACTCTTCTCTTCTCCTGGAAGCAGGAAGCATTCAGGAGGCTGAGCAGGTTCCAATAAAGACCCTCACCTGTGGACTCGATCTTGAAAGCCCCTGGCCCCAATCAACAGGGCAGCCCCAATCTGCTCCCTAGTACCCGCCCTCCTCCTCCACCCCAGCCCAGGTAGCACCATGAGCAGCTGGAGCTGAGGCCTCTAGAACTTTCTCAGCACACTACCATATCGCAGAAGGCCGTCCCGCGGAGTGGAGATGATGGTCCTTTGGGGGTTGCAGGCTCTGGGGACCCTTTTCTGGATTCGAAGACAACTTCCAATGAAGAAGTTCTGACTCAGGAGGCACCCCGAGCCCTGATTATTGAAAAGGAACTCAGTGCCTTGCCCATCCTGATCTCATTCCGGCTTTCCTCTAGTCTGGACTTCCGTGCCACCCTTCCTCTCACCCACCAGGGGTTAGAAGCCGGGCTGGAGGTGTGGGGTGGGCTTGAGGGGGCGCTGGCTGGGGCTGGCAGCCTCCCTCCCAGTGAGCACCTGTCCTCATTGCCCGCTCCAGGGCCCCCTGCAGATGGCACCTGGGGCTGTGGTACCCCTGCCACTGGTCCCACAGTGCCCAACTTTCGAGTCCTGCCACGGACACTGGACCTGCTCTCCCCACCCAGGGCACCCTCAGCTGGGCCTGGTTGCAGATGCTCCACTTGAGGAGAGGAAGCCAGGAGGTGACCTGAGACCTGGTCTTGGTGCTGGCAACTCTCCTCCTGCCCACGCACAGCGGGGGCCCTGCCCACCCTCGCTTCTCAGGCTCCTCCACAACGGCCTTCCGGAGTTGCAGGACTCAGTATTTTAGCTGAGAGGGGACTCGTGCTTCCCAGACCAGGTGGGGGTTTGGGGAGTCCCTTTGTCTCTCCAAGCGCGACTCCCTAAGGGACCCCGTGCACCTTCACGGCCTCCTGCCCTTCCTCGTGCTAGAGACAGCCATGTTAGAGGGGCAGCCCAGAGCCCCCTCGACTCCATCCATCCATCCACCTCCATCCCTCCCCGTGCAGACCGAGCCCTTTCTCCTCCTGGCTCTGCCTAGCCTTGGGGTGTAGGGCAGTGGCCCAGACTGCCTGCTTAACCTCTCTGGGGGAACATCTGTCTCTTGCGTGACGGCCTCCCTCCTCGTTTCATTCCCTCCCTTTGCTACCATCATTCTCCCAGGGCTGAGTGAGAAACTGCGGCATCATCCATTTCTCCTTAGTTCCATCCATGTGCGTTGTACCTTTACTGAATGGCTGTTCTGAGTCCTAGGGAACTCAATAGTGA